CACACACACACATTTCAGGTTGTAGCAATACAGTACTAATTGTTTTTCTGTTGCTATGTTTCTGCTGTTGTTGTCTGTTGTCTTCAGTATTAACTTGGTTGTTTAATTTTTTTAATGCTAAATTTAGGATATTGAAACTAGTTCAATGACCATGTAATTTATTTTTATGTCTATTCATTAATAATTCATTTAGTGATAGGTTATCTCTTATGGTTTTACTTATACTGTTAGTTGAGAATTTCTATTTGTCAATGCAAAAAGTAATACCCATGATTATTTCTTTACATGTAGCAGCTCATATGGAGTGTGTGTGTGGTGTGAGGGGGGTTGGGACAGGCAGCATCCAAAGCAGTTACTGGGAGGGGGTGCACAAGGTAGCTGGTTTAGGGAACCATAAAGTGTGAACCTGGCACTGGGTATGAGAAATGTACATTACATTATTTAAATCATTAACCACCTCCGGGCCGGCCTAGTAAAAAAACTAGTAGTTTTTTACTACGGCCGGCCCAGAGCTCTCTATATCTGAGCGGGCGTCTTTAGACGTCCGCTCAGACACGCCAGCGGGAATCGGCCGAAATTTAAAAACAGTCAGCGATGCCTGTTACCATACAAGCGATCCACCAGGATAAGTAAAACAACATATTTTGTTATAAATGAATGCAGTAATACTAACAGGTTTTGTAGTAATGCCAATGGTGTAAAACTATTTTGCGCAAAATGACCAAAAAATATATATTTTTCACTTTTTTGTCCTTTTGAAGGAGCTGTCAAATTAACCTCTACATACTGAAACTGCTTTGGTCTGGGTATCTAGGCTTGAATGATATCTGGTTAAAGCTGAATTACAAAAACCCCCTCCCCTCTACTCGCACACACACCGCAAGGACTAAATGCTCATTAAATCAAGGGGTAGAGGAATATAGTGCAATACTGACCTTTTCCTCACTTTGGCAAGCTTTGGCACTTACGTATTCTCTCATATGCTCTGGGTTGTGGACTGTCCCTTGTATGTGATGACATTAGCATGCTGAGGTGCCTCTAAGAAGAGGCAGGAGGGGGAGCATGGCTTGCTACATCCACATTCCATTTGAGATTTTGGACTTTGTGTATGTTAAAAGCACAATTTGTTTTGCCAAGCAGTGGTTTAATAATGAAAAGTTAACATGGGTCCTGTTAAGATTAATGCACATTTTTTTTATTATTGAATTCTGTACTTAAGTTGATAATTCAACTCTTATAACCCTAAAATGAACAAACTTTCAACTTTATAGAATTGATCTATGTGCTCAAGAATTATTGGTTTACTGACTAGCATTTATTTCTAAAGATATGGAAATTTGAAATATGCCACAAATACTTTTATAAATAGCTTTGGTATTCTCATGTTTGACATTTATGAACAACTGCACTTACAATAATGTATTAATACTCGCAGCTGCACTTGCAGAACAGCATGGGAAAAGAATCCAATTCAACAGATTTTGAAGGCTAATAAATTTCAGGTTTCGTACAGGACATGGCAAAATCAGATTTTCAGTAAACTCGGTTGTAAACGTGATTCAAACAGTGTTTACACTTTATAGAGCATATTTATTATATAACATAACTAAAACAATCTATTCACCCTTTAGCTAGCATACATATACGTATATGTCTATATGGAACAATAGTGTTATGAATTAATTATTGTTTTTAGACCATAGTCAATAAATATTCTCATACATATTGAGATTTACATGACAAGTGTTTGCTAAAGCCCCTGCTCACTGTGGGTTACTCCTCATTTGCAAAGTCTGTGTTTATTTCCAGGGAAGAAGAAAGTAGCCACTCCAAGTTTAAAGACTATAACATCGATTGCATGATTGGAATAAGAGAGTACTGAGCATCATTAGGGTTTTTTTTGAATACCAGCAATAGGATAGAGTTGGAAAGGGTTAAACCCCTTTCAGGATATTTTGTGCTGTCTGTGTATTGCTAGGAAGATTTTCCTTCACTTCCTGTTTGGAGATGCATTAGGAAGTGAAAGTAAATCTCCCCAAAGTGAGGAGAAATCCCATCTAGGACTATTATCACCAGAATATTTGTCACAATTGGAAGATTTTAGGTAACTTCTGGCCCTTCATAAAATTATAAAATGTAGGACTTTCAATTACTTTCTGTGTAGGTGACTATGGCAACCCCATGCTGAGGTTGAAAGTGGTCTTTATTACCATGACTACATAACCAAAGTTATGCAGGCATCTGCAATTTTTAAGCTGGTAATGAGAAAGATGCAGATGAGGAAGATAGGTCGTCAATGTGCTTTTTCAGAAGTACTTTGCTGAAACTGAAACTGTGCTAAATATTTAGATGTTAATGAAGTCCAGAGCAAAAAGATTAAATTGTCCCATTGTAGAGGGTCACACCACAGGTGCACAGATTATTTAGCAACCCAAAAATAAACTAGTTAGTAAATACCCTATGGTATGGCGTGGCTTGGGTAACCAGTAAATGGATTCCATCCTGCATATAGGCTAAATAATA